GAACCTCAAATGCCAGCTCGCCACTCACACGTATGATGTGTGTGGCTCAAGAAATTTCACAGTGCGCGCTGGGTTTGCATTGTCCCAGTCATGAATGGAAATAGTTTGAAACATTGTTTTTAGTTTGTTGTCATATCCAACATTTTCTTTTAAAATAAACGGTCGAGACATATCAAATAAACATAGGAATACAAAGAATTATTCACCGTTTATGTGGTGCCATTGTTGCAGTTCAGTTTGGGTTAATTTTGAATAAGATCTGGTCAACCTCTTGCACAGTCCATAAGTTCACGAAGTTACAATAGGTCTGTGTAACCTCGTTTCCGAGTAATTCACCTATTCACCCCATCACAGTATATTCCTAATTATACAAACTTTAATGTAAAGTACAGAATTCATTTTAAGCATGCAGTCGTGATGATATGATGGATTCGGACGGCGAACCAAAAACACGGCACGCAATGTCGCAGTAGCACGTAACACAAAGTTGAATGCGATGATGTAGACATGTTTGACCCTGTCGTATGATAGTGCATACGGTGTTATCATGAATCATAATCATAAACCATAATCACTAGCATTTCGCAGGTAACAATTGAAGTACGCTTCAATAAAACGCCCTCATCAACTGAGAATTAAGTTACTTTTGTTTTTTGCTATTTTATTTCCCGTTTGTGGGCATCATGTCTAGTACATTGTTTAGATACCTGGCTTCCTCGCTCCGTTGTGGCGTTTCTACGGTTAGTATAAGGAACCCATTGATGGCGTAGTAAATCAGTTTATCGCCCCATAAGTCATTCTGCAAGTATATAATATTCTCATTTTATTGGTCTTCACAAGAAGCGCGGAAACAGTCTCCAATCGTTAATAATTTCAAAACTCTGTATATTTTAAAGTTATACTACTCAATAACATACTAATCATTTGAAAAAAATATGTAATATATTCCCAAAAAATTCGTATGTGATGAAGCTATGCAGGGTTCAAAAAGAGTGTGATGTCATAGGGTGATTTATGGTTCTTTCATTTAATGGTTGTTATAATAGTCACTGGTCACTTTTAATAGCAGCCGCTTACATGTACCGAACTACGTGACGTTCTCTAGTATATTGACATTTTGTATATTAAAGCAAAAAATACAAATAACAAATACCATGAAAATATTACAACCATTTAACATGTGTGTTTCCATAGTTACATGTTCAATCATAGACTTTAAAAATACTAAAATAAAAATGTATTGTAAGGTCTACGTTTCAATGCACCGGGCCATTAGCTAAGTATACGTAGTAGACGTTATACGGTTCCCCTGCCCGTATCTTGTGTATAAATCTACTTGTCCCCGTAGTAAAAACAGCGTTAGTATTAAATTAAAGTACACACTTTCCAATTGGCGTACATACGGGCCAGTTTGTTTACACCTGCGGTAGTTAGCCGAAAGCGGAAATACAGTACACTGACAATTACTTTCACGTGGGGTAACGTCACGACCTGAATGTGTTATCACATCAGACTGTTTACTGAGAGTGGTTCTGCTAACGGCTATGGTTATTTGACCTGCATGTATAAGAGAAAACAATAATGGGCACTTTTTCAAACATTTGACACAATTTTAATAATTTGTGATATTTGATCCCGAGACCCTTTCTTTGTGTAGAAGGTGCTCCGCTCATCCCGCCCGACACATACACGTCATACATACGCGGACCTTCAGTGTAACCGCACTCCAGGGTGCTCTAAGTATCCATCTAGAATGTTATCTCTGAAATGCCTTGTATCGGCAACTTGTTAATAAATACCTTACTAGGGTTCGTAGTGGCTACCCTCGATCCATGGTTACTTAGGATTGTTGTTGTGTAGTGCTTTGTCTACGAATTACGTGGCATCTACTATTACGGTCGTTAATGTTATAGCTTGATTGAAAACATAAAAAACGAGTAGAAATTATTATTGATGTATTACTAGAAATGACAATATTGCCTAAAACAACTTGAACAATAACGATGAAAACACAAAATATATGGAATCCATGGCATTTCCCCATGTCCAAGGTCATATCGTGTGAAAGGGAAATCGGTTACACCATTAACTCAATTGTTTTATTGCGTGATTAACGATTATATTTTGAAGGCCAAAGAAATTATAAAATATCAATATAGTTAACAGAACCATCACTCAAATCATCGTTGTACGGATTAGTTACATGTAAACTAGTCGTATTCCTGTATTTGAGGCTTTCGAGCTTCTGAACGCCAATAGTATAGTAACTAACCTTGTGATATTTTAAGTCCCATGCTGGTGAGTCAAAATCACCGTGACGGCGGCTCTGTGTCCCAAATACACTGGTCTAGCAATGACGGTTTGCTGATTAGAAACATACATGAACAACGGTTCAGCTACACCTTAAATGGAACCTCGGACTAAATCCTCATTAAATTTATTAAAGGTTTTTCCTAATTATTTTTTGAAAGAAATGTTTGGGAAATGTTATTTTAGACACGTGATGCCAGTAATCGAGTGTTCACCATTGTAATACGTAACCACAGTCACTAGGTCAAGCAGAGTGACTGTGACGTGACTTACTTCGATGTTTACAGGACGCATGGCCTTCAGAACAAGCACTATATTGCAGTGAGTTTTCTTAATAACCCTAAATCATTTCAACGTGGAATGTCTACACAATCATAACAGGATGCAATACAAATGAAAACAGTGTCGCAAACGGGTGGTCACGTGACTATGGTAGAGTATCCAAAATGAATTAACAGGAAATATTTTGATTTCAGTACTCAAATACACTTACAAATAACATATGGCGAACGTCATCAACTATTGAATTCACGAGGTTTTTTAAAAATTGGTTTTAAAAGTGTGTTTTGTTTTCAATGGAGTCCCTGTTTTTTGCGTGGATTTCTTGTCTCTCCTTTCGATTCAAGACTGCAAAAAAAATCAAATTTGTACTGAAACGAAATCTTTTTTTTGTTTAAAACGCCCATAAGTAAAAACAGTTCATCGCCAGGGTCCAGGTGTCAGCCTCGTCGATATTGTAATAAATAGCTGTCCATGTATGATGGCGACATAAACCTTACGAAACAACTACCCATTCCTTTGTGTAGTGTGTACCTGGCTACGCAGTCTCTTCAAAAGTAATTGGCTTTCTTATGCCAAGTCATATAGAACAGAAGACGAGAGTGGTGGCTGTAAAACGCAGGTACAAACATAGATGATAGCTCATAAACTGCATGGTACTTTCAATAGGACATAAAATTATTTGGAGAGTAGCACAACGCGGCACCGAGACATCACCAAGCGGTACAAATTGGAGGTTTTGAGGTTGTTTGAGGATATTGCTCCAACGTTATCAAATCATAAAACAGTTAGGAAAAGTAATATTATGATGAAAATGATTAGTATAACAAATATTACCGTAAATATGGGTTAACAATAGAAATTTACGTAGTTTACTAAGCAGTCTATGCAAAAATGCACAATCATCGCGTCGGAAAAGTTGATCATCTTAACAGTCATTGTGATGTCGCAATTAGACAACGAATATTGTGAGAATATAATTTCTTGTAAACTAGCTACATCAGGAATTAGCGGCATTACAGATTAGCCTAATTAGCTGAAATTAACAGTATTCAAGTGCAAAAGATTTATCGCTGGCTATGCACAATGTGTCTATTTTTTATCAAGGGACTATCACGTTGATAAGTTCAAGACCTGATATATAAATAACCCAAACGTGATATCGACGATAACGGCTGTACCTTCTCATCTATCCCTTGACAATACACGGACGAAGTGATGTACACGATAGAAGAACCGGGTCGAGCAACTAACGTATATGGTAAAACCACGGAGCTAAAAAACATATAGATGCTATTTTTTTTACCAATCGGGCAGTCACGGTCGATTTGAAATGTCGTGCTGGGTGTGAATAGATTGAGGAGATATATACACCCAGAACAACGTTTTCAATTGACTGTGTGGATAACGAAGAAAACATGTCGGAAATGTAACATCGAGATTAACACCGGTACGTGTACAGTGTGTCACCGCATCCGATTGCATGTATCACGGTTCTTCTAGTAACCGTGCATGTGTGTAACACACACCGCATGAGGGGTAAGATAAATCCGTATAACATAATAATGATACGGCTGAAACGGATGTGTTCTACATTGCACACTGTATGTAGCCTGGCAAGTACGAAAATATGCCAGTACTAGCCAACATATATAAACATTATTAACCACAGGTTGCACTAAGTGCATGTTTACAACACTTGTCCGAGTCGTGATAAATGTCGAGACAAACTCCTCCAAATTCCAACAGGAATAGTTTATTAAAACATAGTATACAACATTGATCAGAAGAGGAATGTGAAATGAATATTAAGTTCATGTTTGAAATCTCAAATCAATTAATTACATAATCCAAAATTAATTCATATTGGTAATGCAAGACTGTATGTTTATATACATAACACTGTGTTTCAGCCTGCTACAAATTATACTATGCTGGAGTTAAACGAAATAGAAATTCAATATACATAGCCTAGAGGCGACCGCTAGGAAAACATTGCATAGTTCTCTGGGATATAAGATAACCTTGACATGACTGATGTCAACAACACGACCACCACTGGCAATGCTTCGCATTTCATAATTCCATTGACAAAACAGGTATTATATACATGAGTTTACAAAATCGTATACTTTAGTTCAGCAACACGTGTCCAGATACTCTACAAAATGTTGACCTCGTTTAGAAAATAATAAAAACAATGTAGTCCACAGAGTAAAGTTTGAAAGAAATATACTGTAGCGTAGTACAGGTAAAGTGCATGAACTGTTCAATGGACACGCTGGCCTTTCAACTATAATACATTTCTATTACGTCTGGGGTTATCAGTTAAATGACTTAACTATTTATTCTCTTCACCCAACTCAAAATAATGTTACCGGACCTCATCACGGTCTGAATCGATCAATAGTTCACGTTTTGTTGGTGTTTCGAATTCCCCTGGACCCTCTGTGCAGATGGACTTTAATATGTTTAGAGAGATGATCAGACCTGGAGAATCTTTTCTCACATATACTACATTTGTACGGCTTGATGCCAGAATGTGAGCGTTTATGGCGAGCAAGTTCATCGGATCGCGAAAATCTCCACTTGCACCCTTCCCAAGTGCATATAAACGGTTTTTCACCGGTGTGGCGTCGAAGATGAGCTTTCAGGTGAGAACTTTTGCTGTACATTTTACCGCAATTTGCATAATTACATTTGTGTATTTTGTCATCTGAGTTCGTTTTCTTGGCAGGAGGATCAATCCTAGTCGGGATTTCCATAGTAGTGGTTTTGTCGATTGGTACATGACTTACACGAACTCCAGATGGGGGTAAAATATTGATTCGATTTGCGTTCGCTGTTGACTCTTGCATGTACGCACTGGTTAACATGGACTTGCCAGGTATGGCCGATAGGCCATAGCCCACGGCTTCATCGTGACCGTCTGGACACACAACAGGTGGCTGCTGTTCTGTCGATGGTTGGGATGCCCAGGTCGAAGATTCGGAGCGCATACCATCGGGATTCAACATAATATCTGTATAGTGTTCCAGATATTCCGTGTTAGGTAACTCGGGCAGACTTTGCATGTCTTCACAAAGGAAGTCATTTAATAGAGAAAGTGTGTCCTGGTCCGGGAGCTGTGAATCTGGCTCGTGGTTCAGAGGCGTGATATTGTTCGCTGAGAACTGGTTGATATAAGTAGTAGGAACCTGTGGAGTCCACGGCGTGTTCACATACTGTGCGCACTGACCTGGCGAAATGAAGTTATAAGCCATTTTGTTGATCTGGTTGGAAGTATTGTTCGTAGACCTCTCAATGGAATCAGCCCAACCCTTGGAAAACAGATATTCTAAAAGTACTTCATCACTCGGAACCGGACTTATGTTTTTAGGAGAATTGGTCCCTGAACTTGCACGTGAACGTGAATCGTCGGACGCTGAACTACTGCTATCGCTGTCTTCTTCGCCCGAGGAGTTTAATCTTTGCAATGTCCACATTTCACGTTGAAGGTTGGAACTTGTGCGATAGATATCGAGCATATTGTGACGACTACCCTCACGCTGGATACGTGTATGCCAAGACAGTGCTTAGTCACACACTGAGTCTCCAATCATGGGTTACAGTATTAGTAGCTGTGAGTCGAGTGAAATAGTAGCCTTTTATGAAGCTGTCTGCTGAAGTAGTCCGGTCTGCTTTTCTATTGGCTCCTCAGCGCAAAACCTGTAAGAGGAAAACAGATTAAGAAGTATGAGATCTGGTTGGTTGACTTCACCCTGTGGTTATAATCACACTGGTTAATTTATTATTAAGACCTGTTTTATCTAACTATTTTGCATATAATAGCCGTGCCTTTTATTATAGTAGGCTACTACATCGTATGTACCTGTCTAATCGTTGACATGGTGTTTAATGATGTCACATCGCCATGTAAACAGGCTAGCTGACCAGGGGAGAAATGGAATTTGACCCCAATGTAATCACACTTAGCCGCAAGAAGCCGGATCTGATTTCTCCTCTGGAATGGAAACTTTTTCGCGGGAAATGATCATATAGAAAATATCTCATGGGTATATTGCCAACTTTCTAATATGATAACAGGGCTTGACTTAACGCATGTGAGGTCATAGGGATCAAATATGTTTAGAAATAACGAATGAAATGTACACCTAAATATTTTCTCTGCTAAACCCGTGGTGAATGGCCAACGTACGTCATTAAAGGGGAAAAGTCAAATGGTCAAGATGTAGTAAATACCACCAAATAAAATACCAAACAATGTACCAAGAGTTTTTTTTATTCAACCGACACACATACGTAAAGATAGCAAGATATATATGTTGTTGTTGTTTCGTTAAATTCTCATATACTGCTTGGGGCTTTTGTGAAAATTGACTCTATTCTTTGTTGAAACACAGATACAATATAGTCGCCACGGTAAGGATGTTACAACACGTATATCGAAAATGCAATTGTGATAACGATCTTTTCAAACAGAGTGTGATCCAAGTTGAACTGAATCATCTGTGGTAGCGACTCGGCCTTGTTTTACAACCATTTCTCAATAGTTATCGCTATTTTTCAGACGAAGATGTCCTACTTCATACGATTTATCAAACGGTAATATTTCACGATTCTTATCGACCTGTTGAAATATTTTTGATTTAACGTCTCAATATTAAGTGAGTTGTTGACATAGTATTGGCATGAATATTGAACACAAAGCTGAAAGCAAGATTGATTGAGTTGGTTATCTCCTCATGAGATTTCATAATAAACTGCATTTACATGTTCGAACACAAAGCAGAATGATGGAGAAGATTATATAATATCACGTGTCCTGGTCGCGATATTTCGGTTAGACATGTACAAGTGAGTAACTGTGAGACATCGCCTATACACCCAATATCATGTGATCCAATAACAAACTGATTTGTACATGTGTGTTTTTAACGACGTTTTCGAACTTTTTAATGTTATGTGAAAAAGCTCCTTAAAGTCTGAAGTATGACATTTTGTACGTGTTTGTTCATGTTAAGAACTCGGTCGAGTTTCAATGCAATGTTTTGTTCTGTAATTTAACTGTCCTACAGTGGATTGTCCCATCCTCTACAGTTTATCCTTACCTGAAACTATTAAAAAATATATATAGGAAATCGAACCATTTCGGATTTCACCGTATCAATTGAGAGAAATCTCTCCCGTCTCGTATGAGATACGACTTGAAGTGAGGTTTTCCGAATTACAAGTCACGGTAGTATGCCATAGTTGGTATATGGGTTTTAACAGTCGTGCCAGTATTTTGTTATGTAATTAAACTCACATTATATTCCATTACCACTTAGGGATATATCTCTGAGTGTCTAACTAGTTGCAAGAAATAAAGTTAAATACCAACGTTCTGTGAAATATTAGAAATCAGTAATCTACCGTAAAAACGTACAAGTCTAAAAATATCAAATATGACTTTTTAGCGTAACATTTTCCAAAAAATGCTTTTTCACTTCTATGCATTCTTCGTTCAAATGTTATCACCGGCCATTTGCACGGTACGTCTCAAATTTATAAATTTTATACTTGTCTATGCGTTACACGTTAATTTCGTGCGCGGGACTAAGTTTCGTAGTATATACTCTTTGCATGTGACGTCATCTTACCACACGATGTTAGTACAGGAAACAGTTGAAAAACATTGACAGGGTCTCCAATATCAACAGCGTTCGAACAAGTTATGGTGCAAGTCAAGTTTAGTCGACTCCATATTATGCTTATCCTCGGGGGTGGAGCTACTTCACAAGACGTTCCACGTTGCTACGACGCGCACCACTGTACATGCATTTCTATGGGCTCTGTGCGCGCTGCTGTGGAACGCCGGTCGAGCCGGTGAAAATTTGAGAAAACAACACAAACTCAACTTTGAAGTAATCCCAAACAACCAAACTTATATATGTTACACACGTAGGGCTAATCATGTTACACTGTTCAGAGGAGTCTCAACAGTTATCCCAAAGTACCGTTTTATGCGAGTTTTGGGCCTTTGTTTTCACCGCCGCAGGTTGCCAGGCGGTGAAAATGCCCGGATGTCCGCCCCGGAGGATATACGTTTCATTCTTCTCGCAATCGTGTTATCAGTATTGAATCAACATTGGAACATTACAATGACACCGTTTTTTAAACCGAAGTTTTCATATAAAATATTTACTGAACTATACAAAGCTATATATTGATGGAAAGTTTATTTCAGACTGCATGATATGCAATTGTGCGTATTCGTGTGTGTAGTCACGTGATTTCACGATAACGCTATGGCATTGGCAGTTGAACTCTTCGTCACACTCTTATTAAAGATTGATTCGTGCACTACATACGTTCGATTGATGTGACGTGGCAAGGGTAATTCACTCCTCGCGATAACATCGTGCCAAAGAAAACAAAGAAAGATACTATCATTCAATACGGCAGAACAAATACACATATATAATCAATGCTTTCCGTTATCTCGACATTTATAAAAAAAATATTTAAAATACAGTCTTGAGGTGAATTTTCGTCGACAGAAGAAAATAGTAACTGGTTGTGGGAATAGGGCGTCCACGTGAACAAATCGTGACAATGACGTATACTTATTAATTTATTGAAGCATTAGATAGTTTTCAAAATAACGTGCATTCGTGGGCAGGTACATGTACCAATTCAGTCTCACCGAGCGAGGTACAAGTCGTATGTACCTTGCGGGCGAAAACTAAGGGACAGATATGTCTACATCAGTATTTTGGCGATAATAGTATTATGAAGGCAGGGCTCGTCAGATATGTGCCCCGTCTATCTATTTGAAATGCCCTCTCAATATCTCTACAAATTATTAACACTTTAAATGTATTTAAGTCTGGATTTTAAATGCATTTTTAATGAGTATTCCAACATTTTTTAACTAAATCACTGCTTAGTTTTTAGTTAGTTTTTCTATTTCAGATTTTTAAATATAAACATATACATATAGATTTAATATAGCGTTTTGAGATTTGTTTACATGTGAAATGCTTTATAAATATTGATATAATCATGAATATTTAACTTGAAAACTTACATAAAGCAGTGCTCATCGATGACAACTCATTATGATGACTGAAATTTGCATAATTGCATGTTTGTTTGTTTTTTAAATTTAAAGCAAGGTCCCAACACCTGGATTAGAATAGAATTAAAAAAGAAATGGGAAAATAATACTTCCGAAGACTGGACTTGCTCAAGTTGTAGGGAAGGAGATGAAACCCTGGAACATTTTGTCCCTCGTTTTTTCAATGCCGGGAGAAAACAATCTTTACGCAGATTTTGAACAAATGAAAGACATAATATGGGTGGCATTTATACAGCCATTGACAAAATAGTCAAACAATTCCTTTTCAGTGCCATAGAATCCAGACAAAAGTTTGTTGTTTACACTTTTTTACTTTTCCTTAATACCGATATTTAACATTTGACTCAGTTTTCCGCTTTTGTATTTTTTTTCTTTAATTCTAACATTTGATCCAATTTTTGTTGTTTAATTAGTTAAATTGTTGTTAATGATTTGTAACTTATGCAGCTCCTATTTATTTATTCAAATGGTGAGCCCCTGATTGAAAAATAAATTTAAAAAATCAGCCAGAGAAGTAAGAAATACTAGTGGAATATCCATTTTTACAAAACTTCAACAGTGTGAAGTATGAAATTTCATAAATTATATAGTTTGTAGTTACTAAATAGTTAGTGCTATGAGGTTTATTTCCTGAAAACTTCTCCAAGCTCCTTCACTTTAGGGCATTGTGGGTATATAACTTTAACGCATGCGCACTATTTAAAATGGCGGCTTCCTGTGTTAGTGTTGATATTGATGCAGACGATTATTTTGGTTTTTATCGAAAGTTTGAAGAATTCTTCAATTCAAAATGTCACAATATGACTTTCGGAAACGGTAAGATTGGCAGCTTAATGATAAAAATGACAAAAAATCTACAAAATGGAGATTTTACTATACCTGCGTCTACTTTCAAAGAGGCGTTGATGGAGCCGCCTCCTGACCTCATGAAGCCGAGTTCACAGTGTTCTTCACTACAGGCAGGTATCATACATTATTTAAAATTATTAGGATGCTTTTATATATTCTTCAAAATCACATATTTGTTTTGTTTCATTTTTACCAAAAATGTAAAATGCTGAACTATAAATATTTACGTAAAACTTAAGAAACATTGCTACTCTGTTCTTCCGGCTGCGGAATGGAGATCGTATCCATGTCGTATTCAAGTCAGGAAAAATATTCTCCTAATTAGTATTCGTGAAAGTTTTTTAGTTTTGGCAAATCTCCCAGTAAATTTTCTTGGTGTGAACAAACTACGTTAAAATAGCGGGATTAGGAGATTTTTACCTAGTTTTAATTAATTTAAAAAAAATTCTATCGAACTGTTTTAAATTCGGTATTTTACTGTCCTTCTATATTTAATTTCATTTTATCATTCTACTTGGCCTTGTCAGATTAGTGGTCTGACAGTTTATCTAAAAAACATATTGATATTTTCAAAAGCACTTTGCAATTGTAGCTGCATAAGCAAAAATTTGCATATGATTTGTGAGCGCAGTTCTGTAATATTATGATATTTCTGTCTGCTTGGCACATTGAGTTGGTCACATGATAAAAAAGTCATCACCTGATATCACTTGTTCATAGTTCGGTTCATGGATAATACAAGCCCATGACATCAGTTGTATCAACAAGCTCTCCTAATAGATGTATCCTTGTACTAGTTAAACTTAAAATTTTAATCATGTGAGATTGCGAGGCGCGGAATGTAAATTTATTATTTTGTGTATACTAGAATAAAACGTACTAATAATTCAAAATTACATACATATTGGAGGCCGTGGCGTGTGTGTTTTAAAATGATGTGTGCATTTTAAAAACGGCGTGACTGTGCGTTTTAATGGTGTGTGTTTCAAAATGATAGATGTGTGTATGAGTTCATTAAATGTATGTGCATTAAAAATGATGTGTGTATTTTAAATGGCGTGTGTATTAAAGTGATGTGTGTATTTAAAAAAAATATGTGTGTTTAAAAAATGACGTTTTAAAAATTATGTACGTTTAAAAAATGATGTGTGTATTAAAAACGATGTGTGTATTAAAATGACGTGTGTTTAAAAACGATGTGTGTGTTTTAAACGACGTGTGTGTTTCAAAATGAAGTGTGTGTTTTGTAAATTATGTGTATATTAAAATGACGCGTGTGTTTTAAAAATTATATGTATATTAAAATTGACGTGTGTTTTAAAATAATGTGTGTTTAAAACTGACGTGGGGCCGAATACTGGTCTATCCGTGATAAATCGACAGGCCTCTGACAGTGTCGGTAAATTTATAAGGCCGAATGAATAAAACGTTCGCGCTGGACACATTTCTTTCTACCTACCTCATTGATGTTATAGAAATCTACAAACGAAAATGGCTACCACTTGAGACGATGCCTCCACAGGCGTGAATAAGTTAATGCATTTTTTTTACACACACACGAAAAAAATCGATGAAATCATTCAAAGATAGCGCCCTCCACAGGCGTAAAAAGGTTAATGCACGTGTTTTTTTGCACACACACGAAAAAAAATCATTCAAAAATAGCGCCTCCTACAGGCGTAAAAATGTTAATGCACGTGTTTTTTTTTCACACACGAAATTTCTATTCGACCTCACACACGTCATTTTTAAAAACACACACGTCATTTTAAACACACACGCCATTTTAATATACACATCATTTAAAACACACGTCGTTTTTAAACACACGTCATTTTTAAAACACACGTCATTTTAATACACACATCATTTTTAATACCCACACGCCGTTTTTAAAAACACATAATTTTTAATACACACGCGTCTTTTTAAAACTAACACGTCATTTTTAAACACACACATTGTTTTTAAACACACGTCATTTTTAAAACACACACATCGTTTTTCAACACACGTATCATTTTAATACACACGTGATTTTTAAAACACACACGTCTTTTTTAAACACACACGCTATTTAAAATACACGCATCATTTTTTAATACAATACATTTAATGCACATACCATTAATAAGCACAGTCACACCGTTTTTAAAATGCATACATCATTTTAAAACACACGCCACTGCCTCCAATACGTACGTAATTTAGAATTATTAGTCAGTTTTATTCTAGTATACACAAAATAATAAATTTACATTCCACGCCTCGTACACACACGCTATTTAAAACAAACACATGATTTTTGTAATGCACATATATTTAATGCATATACCATTAAAAAGCACAGTCACGCCGTTTTTAAAATGCATACATCATTTTAAAACACACACGCCACGGCCTCCAATACGTACGTAATTTTGAATCATTAGTACGTTTTATTCTAGTATACACAAAATAATAAATTTACATTCCGCACCTCGTATGAGATAAAAAACAACAACAATGCTTGACAGAATTTATTTTAGTGAAGAAAATGATAAATGACTGAATATGTTAGGTTTTGATCAGTATAACTTGTTTACTTTCACATTTGACTTTTGGCTTAAAAAATAAAAAAAAAAATATTTTTGACCATTTCTGTTTTCTCATTGCAATAGTGTTGTGGAAATCAATGACAACTCAACTAATGTTGCAAACCCCCCCCCTAATTAGACGTAATATTCCCCATAATCTAGCACATGATGAACTGAAATTAAATTAAGTGCGCTACTAAGTACCCACACTCCCCCAAAAAGCATGATTTCTGTATTTCAATGAAACTTGGTAAAACAAGTACTACTAATCATCATATTTCAATGAAACTTGGTACATCAATGCAAAAGTACAATGCAAAGACCTGACCAGTTTGCAGTTAAAGTATCATTACCTAATTTACATAATAATTAGTTAATAATTTTTTGGCTTTTCTATTCATATCTGAAGTACTAATCAACACATTGCAATGACATTTACATGCATTGTTGATTGCTAAGAACTTGTTTATGTGCTTTTGAATAAATTTGACTGCTATTAAACCACAAATGTAAATCAAATGTATTTTCTGTGAGTATTATAAACTTCAATACTGGATCACATTGTTTTCATCTTGTGCATCTCAAATAGCAGACAAATATTAGTCACCAAGCTTCTTGTTTGAAGGCTAATCTTAAATTTGGAATTAATTTTAAATATGCCTCCAATACACATGGGAGTTCTTTTTTAGCTTTCTTTTTGACTCCCATGTGCGAAGCACATAATAGGAGTCTTTGCAGTTAGTGTGTCTGTGTGTGTGTATGTGTGTATGTGTGTCCGACTGTTCCACTGCTATCTCAAGAACCATACATCAGTTTTTGATGAAACTTGGTGCATAGATACTCTGGGCCAATGC